TTTCCCGATCACGCGGCGAAACACCTCCCCGATGGCTATAGGCCTTACCCCAGGCTGCTTGTCCAATGGAATGAGCCTTGCTGCCAGGAATGAGCGGAGATCCCGCGGCTCAATTGCCTCAGTGCAAAGACGCTTGGCAGCACGAGCCAGAGCCGAGCACAGGTCGTCAGAAGCTGATGTATACATTGAGGCCATCCGACGCCAGGCAGCAGAGTCAAGGCCTGACGGACCCGCTGCCCCCTTCATAATCATGCAGGTCTTGCGGATTTGAGCTGGTGTTATTGAATCAAACAGCACATTCTCCTGGACTGTGGCTTCATCATCGAGTAGAATCTCTGGTTCTGCATCAGCCGGAACAGGATGCTTGTCTCTCAACAATTCCAGTACCGACTTGCCACCCACAATTTTGTCCAACGGGAGTACGCCACCACCACCATCATCCTCCAGGTAGTGAGCAGCTGTTCCAATGCGGTCGCTGTATACCATTTTGCGAACTCGACGTCATCCAGACCATTAGCTGCTGTTTTGCCAGGTGCTGATCGGGGTAGATGGGCTTGAATGCACCGTGCCTCACGCAGCAATGCCGCCATGTCTCCGCACCTCCACCAGTCAAGACGCTTGCGTAACGATTTCTTGTTGTCAGAGGCATTGGATACTACAAAAGGCCGCTGCAAAATCAGATGGCAAGCAATGACCACAGCCGATCATGCAAAAGCACCGTCGCGAGTTCCGCCGCTGAAAAGACCAATCAGGCGAGCTAGTTCTTTGACGAACCGACGACCCTCATCCCCGAAAGGTATGATAAATAGATTCCGTTGCCACTTGACTATTTCTGCATGAGTTTTGTCCATTAAAATGATTATATCGTCCGTTGGCAAGGACCAAAAGCCATCGGGTTCTGGAGAATCACATTTCTCGGGTGGCAGATCAACGAACTGAGGCTGTCGAGACGAGCCGGGACCCACAGAGGTCGGCGCTGCAGACGCAGGTACCCGGGAAGATGCAGTGGGGTCAGCAGAAGCACCCACGGGCGAAGGGGCGGCAGCGCAATCAGGAACCATCCCGGAGCACACAGGAACAGGCAAGTCCACCCGTAGTGACTCCCCAGACGGAACCGCAGTCGCAGACACAGAAGATTGGGAAGATCCTGCCACTTCAGGCGCCGGTGCCGCACCCGAGCGTTCGGCAGCCGACGACGGGGGCCTGGATACCAAAGTAGTCCGTACCTCGCGAGGCACACCACCGGTCCGGCCAGCAGCGGATTCACCCGATCGAGGAGGCTGCACTCTTCGTCCACTCCAGGCCGGCGGATCACCAGCAGAAAGGCCTTGAGGCACCTCTGATCCACCAACATCATGCAAATCCAAATTTCCAAAATTCCTGCAACGCCCAACTTGACCTGGGTAGCAATTGACACAGCATCGTCCATCCATATTGCACGAACCTGCTCCGCACGTACCAGTTTTCTTGCTGCAGGAGCAACAGGGCCCAGCCGACGCCCCACGCCGTGACATGCCATGCAGCCTGCAGCACGGGCAAGAGACGCGAGGTGTGAAGAGCACCTCGCATGTCACTCGCCACAGACCATGTGGGAAAACACTCAGTGTGACTCAGCCGCGAAGCACAGCACAGCAAGCCATCTCACCTAAGGCCCAAAGGCGAAGGCACTGAAACTACAGCACAATGGCCAGTTCGCCAGGCAATACGACACCAGCTGGATGTAGGAATAGCAGACTGGGCAACTCCACAGCGGTAAAAACTACTGGAGCCGACTCCTGAAACCTAGACGAAAGTAATGACGTAGGATAAACAAAAGGTTGACCTGGACAGTGGATAAAACAATTAAAAAACTGCGGAGGAGCAAAATCTCCATCCGCACTCAATGAGCCGCACTACTACTACTACTACTGCTGCTGCTGCTGCTGCTGCCGCCGCCGCTGCCGCCGCCGCCGCCGCCGCCGCCGCCACCACCACCACCAACACTACCAAATTTCGAAGAGTCTTAGGATTTAGTATTGTACCCTCTTCCTGTGCATACCTCCATGAGTATGTGTGTACGAATTGTGTGTGTGTGTGTGTTCGTGGGCGTGTACGCGTGTTTGTGTACTGCAACATGTGTGTGGGTTTGCTATTCATGTCTATCGTATATCAGCATGCAAAGCATCCACTGCTGACTTCACAACAGGACTGAGCGGCTACACACAAGCTACTAGCATTGATCAATTTGACTGGACGAGAAAACAAGGAACAACAGGAAGTCACAACACAGGTCCCTCGTCAGATCGTTCATATGCGTCTGGTAAGTGATTTGTTTTGCCAGGGTCAGCCCGATATGAGTCCAACTGTTTGGCATGATACGATGGGCTGGCAGATCTGATCTACAAGAAATCATATCACAGTTGTATGTGCATTAGATGGAGATCGGCTAGTTGGAGCTAAATGTCGGGTTGCGGCAGATGCTAGAAATCTGTCAGTTTTGTAACCGATTGTGGCAAGGTCT